CTAAAGGGATTTGAAAACAACAACAACAACAACAACAAGCACGAGGGGGCTATCCAAAAAAATTTTGTTTTGACAAAATCGAAGGTAAAGTTTTTGGTCCTTGTTCAGTTTCTTTAGAAGACAAGGAGGGTTTTCTCTATAACCAAACAAAATATGCACATCAATGAAACCAAATTCTCCTATATGTAAGACAATGCCTACTTTTGGTGTAGGTCAAGATTTTTGGAAACCTTCGAAATCTAGGTTAGCCCGCTTGTCCTTAAAAGCGACCATGTGTAAAATGTGCTGACAAAATGAGTTAATTCTTGGAATCGAGCCCTATGGAAATAAATATACTACGCTTATAAGTTTTTAAAATACATGTATGAAATGTGAGGTAGCGTGGTGGAATCAGGCTCTCGTCAATTTTTGGGCATATTGAGTTATTGGTATCATCTTAAAGCATGTTTATTTGTCTTGCTTTCAATGAAAAAATTATCCATCCATCTTCAATAGAAGTGGAGATATTTTGGATTGAATGAGGTGGGGGTCACCTGATTTAAGAGGTAAAATTAGCGAGAAAATGGCCGCCATAATTTGGTAAATTCAAAAGCTGGAGAGTCCATGGAAGCTGTAAATTTATATTTTTGTGCCTTTAATCAACGTTTTTGGTGAAATCCTCAAAGGAATGTGTTTGTAAATGGACATAAAAGGTGTTGGGCCAAAAAAGTAAAAATTGATAAAGACTGCTGTTTTCTTCGATTTCATTATTTTGACGAGAGCCTAATTCCACCACGCTGCCTCACAAATAATAACAGACATATTACATCTAAAGAACATGGTATCAATAGAAAATCTACAAATTTGACCCTAGTGTTGATTTTTCGCCAATGTCTCCATTTGTGGACTGCGAGAAGTAACTCATTTTGTCAGCACGCCTCACATATTATAGTCTGTGGACCGTTGTGTTCATCCCCAGGCTCTTGTCCCGCCCGTCCCTCCCAAGAGAAACTACTCCGTCCACGGGAACGTCCTCATTACTTACCCGCAGTGTCGCTGTATGAAGGTCGTGTTCCCAGGTCTGTACAAAATAAGATAAGATATTTTTTTAATAGTAGAGGGTTTTACGGCGCTCGCAAGTGCATAAGGTCATATGAGCACGATAAGATAAGACAAGATAAGATAAGATAAGATAAGGGAAGATAAGGGAAGATAAGAGAAGATAAGTTACGGAAAGATAAGGGAAGATAAGATGAGATAAGGCAAGGGAAGATACGAGAAGAAAAGAGAAGACAAGAGACGAAAAGAGAAGACAAGACGAGACAAAGTAAGATATGATCTGAGCATCCCAATTAACTCTGTACATTGGAATCGAGTGATAGTAAGTTTGTTGGGATCAAATTTCAAGGTCCCAAAAACAAGCGAGAATAATACATGGATAATAAAATTAAATAATACATGTGACCTCATTTAAAGGGAAATAATAGAGGTAACCTCATATTGTCGATATTTTCACTGATAGTGTCCCTTGTTTATTTTTTCCCCTTATATTATTTTATACATTAGGTTAATACATTTATTAATATATTACGTCGTCTCATGTGAAAGGTGCTGCAACGATTACAAAGTTTGTCGTAGACGAAGTTAATACTCCTAACTTCAAGCACAATGCTTAAGTTTAACAAAAAAAGACCAAACAAACAACTACAAACAAACAAGCAAACATAAACAAAACAGTAAACCAAAAAGAGAACAAATAAACACAGAAACAAACGAGCAGGAAAACAATAATTCATTTTAATTGTGACTTCATTTTTTTTTCAGTCCGTTGTGAACAAACTCCACTGTTGGACAATTTCAGTTGCACCTATTTGACGAGACGTTATAACTATAATAATACTTCGTCCATCATTAATGAATGATTACCTTTAACATCCTAGGAGGGATAAAGTTACACACCTTGCCAGCTGTCTAAGATAGCTAGCATAGAAAAGAGGGAAAAGTAAAAGAAATTCTAATAGCAAGCAGCGTGTAATGATAACAAACACCACAACTCGCTAGAGCATCATCTCTCCCTTTCCCAAAGTGGTAGCCTTTGTTTATCCGCCTATATATCATGCAGCTTCTCAAAATTACAGTGTTTTTATTTGGGGGAAAAGATACAAACAAAACTAACTCGTTTGACCTTCACCTGTCCAGAGAACGGCCCGTCCAACAACAATGTGTTCAAAAAAGGTGACATCGTGACAGTGCTGGGACCTTCTGCCACTAAAGGTCACCTGGTCGCCCAGAGAGGTGACGTCATTCACCACATTCCTTATGCTCTCATGGATATTCAAGTAAGTAGATGGAACTGATATCAGGTTGTTCATTGTTGTTTTTGTAATTGTTGTTGTTGTTGTTGTTGTTGTTGCCTTTGTTGTTGTTGTTTGTATAATTTGTTGTGAAGTTCGGGATACATATCGCACAGATCCACATGGAGTTGTTATATAGGTTTGATGACTCAAAATGTTACGCATAAGAATCTTCTCTTGATTAGTTTTACTTGTTTTTTTCCCTTTTCTTTTACCCCTTCCCCACTTCTTGTCAAGATGCATACGAACGAATGGTTTATATTAGAGTTTGAAATGGGTCCTTATTTCTTTCTTTCTTTCTTTTAAAGTATTTTTTACTTTGATAACAGTTCGGGCCATCTGAAGAATAATAACTGGTCGTAGGCAATAGCCTACAATAAAACACAGACATAAATAGAACACACATGAATATGACCTCTTCTGTGGGCCTCTAACATGTCAATTAAACAAAGCATGCTCATATATAAGCCTCTTTTATACTCATTGTCCTCTATTGTTTTTTCTTTCCAGACTGTTCAAGAAACAAGTGAGCTCGACATCTGAGATATTTTCACTTCTAATACGTCATTTCATTAACTCAGGGATACAGACTATTATTATGCATATTAAATGGCAATAAATCGTTTATGTTTATACCCTTGTGATTTGTTGTTTTTTTCTCTCTCCTCGTCCCCGTTTTCATATTGTTCTTGGTTGTATGGAGTAGAGTTAAAAATGATTTTGTTTTTTTTGCTTTATCAATAGTTTTGGGGCACTTGCGACACAATTAACTTGCATAAGTGCCGAAGGTTAGCGGTGTTACTATTAGAGAGTTACAAACAAACAAAAGAATAAGGAGAGATAAGGACGATTGATGTTTAATTGGAATGAAGGAGCAAATCGCATTGGAGCACCGCCAGCCACAATGCCCTACTGAAAACAAAGTAATTGCAAAGGCAGAAGATAAATAGACTCCAGTTTTGGTTTGGAGAAAGAAAGAAGAAGAAAACAGCACGTACAAACAAAACGCAAAAACGAAAACGAAAGACTGGTAGGCTATATTATTTAAACATGAGGCATCACCGAATTTTAATAAATATTTGGAAAGGTTTAGCAGCACTTGCAACTCAAACAGGTCATATGAGTGTCGAAGATTAAAGGGGTTACTTGAGAGTAACATACAAAGAAAAGCAGAAGGAAAAGTAAGGATGATAAATGTTGGATGTGAAAGAAGGAGACAGCATCACTAGAGCACTAGAGAGAAATAATAAGTGGTCATTAACTCTTACAAAACATAAGCCTATTCCCCACTTTGTTGCAGCTAGTTAAGTTTGAAATAATATGTGACCATTAACATAAAAAGATAGGTTTCCTGCGTGGAAAAGCCTGAAGAATATCCAACCAGCTGATCCTGGAGAGGAGGGAGGAGCAGCGATGGCATTGTGCCACCTACAAGCATGTATTACTTAATTTTTAAAATACTTTTTACTTTTTCATCCTCTGTTGCCGTTAAGTGTCGAGGGGAGATGCAGTTTTCTATTGTAGGCCAGCTCTGCAGCTCTTTCAGTTGTGCTATTATGCTTTGTCAGGGTTTCCTTGACACCTTCGATCCACCTTTTGCGTGGCCTTCCTCTTCTTTTATAGCCAGAGTGCTTGGTGTTATAGGCTCTCGAGGCTGGCTGGCTAGGTGACATACGTAACAGGTGGCCAAACTATTTAGTTTTAATTGTCTGTGTTTCTATGAAATGAAGCCAGAACTCAGCGCCAATAGCTGCTCTTGCTTCTTCATTTCTCTGCCTGTCCCGTCTTGTAATGTTAAGGGTTTTGCTCAGACATTTCATTTTGCAAGCAGTGATTTTGCTTTCAGATCTGGTACTGATAGCATAATGTTGGTATGAATATTGAAGTGATAAGCTGTCTCTTATGTCCATGGAGATATTTGGATGAGATAGGAGGGGTTGAGAGCTGGTAGGTGACAGCGTTGGCTTTTTGAGTTTTTATTTCTATTTCTCTGTCTATGTATTATTACCAACCAAAATGTTCTGAAAAGAATAAGGGTTTAATATGAGGATAAATTTGTAGTATAGGCAAGTAGACAGCTATGATAAAGGAGAAAAACAAGAAAAGACAATCAAGCAGTGTCTAGTCAGCAGATGTCCTGACTTCTAAGAGTTAATGGCTGCTGAGAACAAATGAAAAAATGATGCTAATGTAAGCAGAATAACATGAAAGAAAGGAGTCAAAACAGAAAAATATTTGTTTATAAATGAAAATGACGTTTATTTTGTAAAGAACAACATCTGTAAGCAATAAAAGTACGCAGGCCATAAAAGGCTTCAATGTTATAAATTTTGTAGTTCACAACATTGAGTATATTTATTATACTTTAAACAGAATACCACAACATGGTAGGAGATGTACCTTGTCAGCAATGAAATGGTCGGCCTGCCCGCCCACCCGCCCTTGTCAGAGTATGAGCTTCATATGCATGAGCATATCAAAATGCTCTGAAATTTACAATATATACATATTACAACTCTATATTTATGAAACTTATTTATAATATAACGCTAACATAAACCACAAGAAAGGCCACTGTAGTAGAGTATAAACAGTGGCTAACGAGCAATGAAAGTAGGTACCGTATCTCATCGCAAAAACTATGAAGTCAAAAAGGTGTTATATTTTTGTTTGGTTCTCTCAATATTACTGTTTGTAATAACTATAGTAAAAGATTTGGGGAGCGAGCAAAGCACATCTTTTTTTTATTAGGATGGAGAATGCAGCAGATGAGGGAGAAGTGTTTTCCCTCAATCCTATGTATGTAGATATGAGGCGTGTGATATTTGTTCAACATAATATCTTCTATGAATAACTCATAATAAAAAAAAACCCAAGGCCCAAGGACAAGGCCATATAACCCCACAAAGTAATACTTTTGAAATGCAAAACTTAATTGTTCCAAATGAAGGAAAGAGGTCTGCATGGACCAGAGCGTTTCCTGCGTCTTTTCCACTCTGCATATCGTCGCCTCAGAACTACTTTGTCCATAGTGCCCTCTTTACTTTAGTACACTTTGGACAAAATAGCTTTCAGGCGACGATATGCAAAGTGGAAAAGTCAACATTGTCGGTGCCACAAGCAATCCATTTAACTCTATTTGGGTATATTTTACATCAAAATCAACAACAACAAAAAAGCTTTTATTGTGTTGTTCCTATCAAGAATTGAGAAAAGCGAGAAAATTGTAAGCCTTGACCGTACCATTAAACTGCATTCTGGAGATGTTGAAAGCTGCAGCTTTGAGAGGGTGTAAAAATTTAAATTTTCAAAATTTGGATTTAAGTATATTGCTTGCGGCAGCGACGATACCTTTTTTTTTTATTATTAAATAGAATATCGGTGAAACTTTAAACACCACATTGGTATCAAAATGGGGAATGAATTTCATAACACTATAGAGATAAATCTTGAGAGTCAATAAATAGCCTAAGTTGAATAGATGGTTTGATCTTGGAATACAGGAATAATTTACTTGTTGAACGTGGAAGAAAATTCAATGAAACCTTTAAAAAAATCCAACTAGTTCCTATCAACGATTGAGGCCTTTCTTTGTATGCCCTTTAGGTAGACCATAGCAAAGTAGTCACTGTTACATTACTTGCTGCTATAGTCAAAACGCATACGTGTCGGAGTAAAAAAAAATATTAAGTCTAAAAGATATAATCCTCCCCCCCCCCCAAATAAAATTTAAAAAAATTAGAATAACTGTACTGCCCCTTTGTAGAACAATGAAATTCTTGAGAAGAACTTTATTTGTTTTTTACAAATCCACTTCTAACATTTCAAGAGCTTGAACATGTGTAGAAACTACATCTTACCTACAATGCAAGCTCCAAAGAACAGACTGCTTGACAATGCAACTGCATTCATTCCTTGCTTTAAAAAAATGATTTGTTCAAATGAACAGAACACAATGAATCTTTTGCACCTTTAGTTTCGTAAGGTTTTTACGGCGCCCGCAACTGCATAAGGTCATATGAGCGCCATTCTGCACCTTTGAAAAAGCCAGACTGAAATACGTACATATCTCGATAAAGAGGATTTCACCACAAACCCAGCAAACATTTGTTCTTGCTTTTTCATTTAAGCAGGTGGTTAAAAAAACAGGGAAACCGTGGTAGAGAAAAGATACATCTGACCTCAGACAGACAAGTTTTTGTCACGGGCAAGCAAAAATCAAACAAACAACCAAGCAACCGACCCTAAAACAACCCAAAGTCCACATTTATTCCCTTACACATACAGTGGAGTACAGTTTACAGTAAACCTTTTGCACAAGAATTGGTTGGTTCATTAATATAATATCATACTCAATAAAGTGAACAGAGTGTATGTTCTCCCCAAAAAACTTTCACCATGAAACAACCAGGAAAAATCAGATTTTCCATTACACTTTCGCAGAGATATATACAGAGGATTCCCCTTGAAAGAACCTCACTTGAAATTTTTACAAATTCTCTATGCCTTAATGTGAATTTCACACAAAAATCTGTTCTCTGGAACTCTATCAAAAGTTGATCCCCTAAATTACCCATTGTTTGTATTATACTTTTAAAAAAAAAGAAAAAAAATTCCCTTCTCTTGTCCACTACAAACCCCTTAATACTGATCAGTTGGGTGCTCTTGTCTTGAAAGTGGTGAACCAGTGAACCTCGCAATCAAAAACTGCACTATCTGAAGGCAGAAATATCTTTATTGGAATGTTTGCTTTAGACTACAATCTTGCACAGGGTATTCTAAAAAAAAAAAAAAAAAAGAGGGCACTGGAAAAAATTTCTAATAAATTAAATTAATTTTGTTTGTCATAAAACTTAAGCGCGTTCTTCACACATTCAATTTATTTGTTTATGCATAGTTTTCGAGAATACCTTGAAACACAGGCTAAGGCACGTCTTTGTAATCATACAATGTTGATTGTACCAGTCAAAAAGACAGGATTCAAGATATCGCCCAGAACTATTTTGTCCAAAGTGGACTCTTTACTTTACTTTAGTACACTCTGGACAATATAGTTCTGAGGTGACGAAATGTAACGAAAATCAAAAGGAATTCTTTGAATTTTCCAGTTCTCTTACGAAGCATTCTAAAACAGGGGAGGGGGGAGATGTGAAATTGGGGAACAACAAAAGACGATGTACATCACAAAAGTGAAAAACAGTATTGTACCAAAATAATAAATAATATCTTCAAGCAATTACAAATGGAATGTGGTTTTGATTTGTTCAAGACTCCAGTAAAAAAAAAGCAAAACGGGCATCAATCTGACCAACAAAACACAACACGTAAGATCAAATCTACCAACAAATCTTTTGCAGCAGTTTGTGCCTTGGTCAGCGAAAAGAAGAAAAACACGTTTTTACATGAAGAAAAGCTTTCTAACATTCGTATCATTTACACAATACTTTCTTTATATCTTTGTCGTACAGCGACAAGCAATCTAACATAAATTATTGCTAAGGCTGAAAAATCATTCTGCCCAACCCATCTGATGGTAGAATAATTGTATTCTAACCAAAAAACAAAATACAAATCCGACGCTTGTTTAACATTTAAAATAAGCATTTTGAAACGTTTCAAATGATACAGACAGTGACACTCTCTGACAGATGACAACACAGAATGGACTTTTTTTGTTTCACATAAAAGAAAACTTGAAAAATAGAATATCTTCAAATTTCTTTTAAAGAATGCCTTGATGGTAACTTGAGCATAATTACTTGTGCAAGTTAATGATCACAAACACATAAATAAGTGTTCCCAAAATATGCGAACAAACTTTAAGTGACTATGAATTGACATGCAAGACATGTCTTGGTAAAACTATGTAAACGTAAAGAAGTACTGAGACAGAGACTATGTACTGAACTGGCCAAAAAAAAACGGTACATCCACCCCCCCCCCCTCCCCCCAGCCCAACCCACCCCCCGCTTTCCCATGACTTACCAACACCCACGTGCGACCAAACTAGTAAAACCTAGAGATGACACAGCAACAGGAGGGACTTGGGACAAAACGGGAAAAAAACCCAACAAAACTAACTGCACAGTGATAAAGTTGCTAAATCCAAGGAAACACATCATTGATGAACATTACGACAATTCCTTGCAACACGTGTGTCAGTGACATAAAACATAAAGTTTCAAGATGCTGAAACATACACAGTGTGCATGCAAGCGCAGCTTCACATTCACACATCTAAAGACACTTTCAGTTCAACAGTGGACAGACACAGTATGGGTACTTTTAAGTTCTTTAGAGGTAAAGGAGTAAAATGTTACTGAACTAATGATGAGGGTTTACTAGACATTTCTACACATTCAGTTATACAAAACTATTGAATCTTGTTACCCATAAGCTATATATAGTTTATCAACTCTTTCAGTAGAGTGTGGACCATTTTTCACCCAACATCTCTTTTGAGAGTTTCTTAGCTCTTCGACTCATTATGAAAGAATGACATATTCTTTCCATTCTAGTGGGGAGTTTTCTTTTAGAGATGGAGTGTATTGATAAGTTTAATGCAGCTTCCTGCAAAATCTTTTTTTCTTAGCTATTAAAAGATACCAACACTGTTCTAAGCTTAAAGTAAACTGTAGATGTTTTTGCTGCCCCCACTGACACAATTTAGATCATTTATCTGGTAGGCTTTGACCCTTACATGTCAGGGCCAACCCAGGCTGAGAAGAATATACAACGTCCCAGTAGAAAGACTGAGTTACTTGATATAAATTCTCCCCAGGCTGTAATCGAACTAGGGTCTTCTGCACGTGACAGTGAAGTGCTTGACTGCTACACTACAGATGCCAGTGTATTCTAGTATTCTAAGCTCAAGACATCATGTGCATACAAAGCCTATAGAAAGCAAAAGAGAACTGACCTTTAAGTGTGCATAGGAAGAGGGTATGCAAATCTATACTGACCACAACACAAAAATCAGCAGGTGCAATAATGCTGCCCATTCATCTTTATAAAATCAGTGAACTTAATTATTACAACCTGGCACACAATATTTTACCAATAAAAAAAAAAGTGAAAATAAATCATGGAGCTATAAATATATATTATATTTACCCTGTGTGCTTTATCTCATCATCTTCATCAAGTTACGACAAAGCTTTGTAATATTTTTGTGTCCTCCAAGACTTTAGAATAGAGTAGTATGATCTCGAAGCATTTAGAATCTGTAGCATCGCATCATACAAAACAAGGGCTATCCTCGTGAACAAATAAATTTACAATACAACATTCAACCATGAAACCATACGCCACATAACTGAAAATTTCTGACCCATAGTTTCGTGAAGTTTGTTATATTCTAAAACTAGAGAGTTGTTTTAAAATTCCAATTTGGTCAAATCCTACTGGATTCAAGATAAAGCGCATGCTTGATTACAAAATTAATCAGTCTCTTTTTTCTTGTCTCTCCTGTCTAGTTAATCAATCCAAATGTTCATTCATGGCTTTCGATTTGCACTCATAATATGCCACCTACAACTTTCTTTTAAGCAAATGAGCTATCTATGTCAGTTATTGGTGATGACTTTGCACAACACATGTCAGTTTTTGGGCTAAATGCTTTCACTTTTACTCAGTTCCAAGATACAACCAAACCTGCAAGAGCTTTCTACTGGCTGTCTGGTCACAACCAGGCGAGCTTTGCACAACATGTCAAAAATGCTACAACACAAAATTTTCACATATGACAAAGACCATGAAATAAATAATATATTATCTGCGCACAACGATATACAAAACACTAGCAAAAACACATTGAATTGATAGGACAAAAAAAAAGGACATAGAGAGAGAGAGAGCAAAAGAGAGGAACATTTAAAAATTTGGTCACAACAGTCATACCTTCCACACAATTACAATATCATTTGCATAGCAAATTGTAGGCCTGGCACTATCAAGAGCCTGGCTGCTTGTCAGAAGAAAGGGAATATTTCATAACACACCCTGAAAATAATTCAAGAAAATAATAAACTAATGAAAAGCACACAGTGCACATCACCTGTGATGTACCGACAGTACCACCTTTCCATTGACAGATTTTAAAAAAAATGTTTGTGTCATATTTTTCTAAAAGGAAAATTAACACGAATTTTGCATAGCACAGGTGTATACAAATTGCAAAGTAAAATTTGAACAGCAGTTTTATCAAACGACCCCCTGACCTGACCCATACCTTCACTGATGCGTTTAGTGAGGGTTTTATGGTGCTCATGTCCACACTTCAACGTAAAGTAACAATGACCATGCAGAGCAGCACCAGCTGGTTTGTGGGATCCCGAGGTCAGGTCTAAGTTGTATCCCTTTGTTGCTACAGAAGGACAGAGGAATGCTGGATCGAAACCATTAATAAATCTTAGGAACAATTCATAATCTTTGGTTCAACTTCATATTAAACTTAAACTGTACCCGTGAGAAGAAAAAAAAAAAGTACGGACTAAACAAACAATTTGAGCCAGCCCAATTAAGCGAACGGTCAAAATTTGAGATTATATGCTTTTGAAGCTTAAACATAGTCCTTGTAATTGTACTTTATGTAAGTTAACAATATCTGGTCATCTCAAGAATTGTCCTTGGCACTGTTGATGCAGTGAGAAACCATTACAATCAGACATTTCCTCAATGCCTGTGTCGGGTAGGGAGAGTTGAAAGCAACTCATAACATACATCCAATTTTGATAATAATTCAATCGATTATATGGGCTCGGGCTTGATTTCCAACTAATGAAAAAAACCCACCAAATTATTCAACAAATCCAAAAATATATTTCTCACAGACATTCCACACAACAAAGTTTTGACAAACTCTTTATTTGGTCGACAGCTGGACACAATATGACATGATATGTACTAGTTCGCATAGGCTCCCGCCCGCTGTTTCAGCGCATAACAGACACATCACACCACCACTCTCCAAGGAAGACTTGAAGCAACTTGCCACCCTACTGCACTATATAGCTAGAGACGAAAAAAAAGTGATTATTGTTTAGATCCCATAGTCTGATTTCAACTCCTCTTCACTACCAAACCTTTCCTAATTTCAAATTTAAGTGGCCATGGACAGTCGAATGTGCTCTAAAGGCCATCTGTCCAAGATAATAAATCGCCTGTACAAACCACAACTTTGTGATTCCATCTTGTGGGTATATTTAGAATATCATAATGACACTGTCCAAGATGTCCACCTGTCTAAGACAATCATCTTTCGCCTCAACAATGGATGGCCATCTTGGACAATTTCGATTGTAGTCGAGTCTCCCAACAGAAACTACTGCCACAAAAATCCATCGCTTTTTTTTACAAAAATCACCACGAAAAGTTTCGTTATTTCAGAATTGTTAAATACAAGTTCTTTTTCAGAACTTCGGTGGGATAGTACCACTGTGTGATAGTGGAAGAGTTTAATAATTTAAACAACAAACATCAAATCTTACATGAACAAAAATAATTCAGAAAGCAAATACAGTTGAACCTGCTCTTACAACCGCCTGTTAAGGACAATAACCTGTACAAACGACCACATCCCTCTTACCCCCTTGCATTTTTTCAAATATGCGTCACGACGCGGTGGAATCAGGCGCTCGTCAATATTTTTTGGGCCTGTAGATTTATCGGTGTCATCTTAAAGCTGGTACATTTATCTATCTCTCAATGAAAAAAATACCCATCTATCTTAAATAGAAATCAAGATATTAGTGATTGAAGGAAGTGGGGTCGCCTGATTTCAGAGGCAAAATAAGGGAGAAAATTTTCGCCAAAGCTTGGTACTTTGTAAAGCCTTAGAGTTTTTGGAAACTGGAAATTTACCTTTTTCATGCCTTTAATCAACATTTTTCAGTAAAATCCCAACATAAATGTGTTACTAGATCTAAATGGACATAAAAGGTGTTCAGTTAAAAAAAACAAAAATTCAATAAAAATTGCTGAACCGGTAGAAAAATTAAGGCCCATATCTTGCATTTCATTATTTTGACGAGCGCCTGATTTCACCAGGATGCCTCACACATTTCAATGACACTCTACACGACGTCAAAGATAGTACATAACAAGATGGGCCACTTCTCTCCTTGAGCCAATTAAAAAAGTGTCCTCCAAATTTGGTGGCGCCCTCTTCACAAAAGCGCACTCTTTGCGAACAGAGTTACCCTACTTGAGTTATAAAAAATCAAAGTGAAACTAGCAAGTTTTGGGATAAATTTCGGAAGAACGCTTTTTTAAAATGGTTACGCTGACAAAAAACCTCTTCCAGAGGAAAGGGTGATGGTTTTCTTCATTTAATTTGACTTTAGAATGAAAGGCGAGAGGTCATTAAAATAAAAAAACCCTAAAACTCCGCACTGAACGTACCCAAACTGCTGATGAACAGTAGTCGATCTGCGCACGCAAGGAAGTGCTATTCCTATTCTTCTTCTGGAAAAACGAAAGAGAGCTTCAAAACAGACTGCAGCGCCATCTGAAGCAAAGAGCATACTTCCTGCGGACACTTTTTTGGCTGAGTGGCCCATCTTGTTATTTACTATCATTGACGACGTTCACCTGTCTAAGACAACCATTTTGTCCCATGTCAATGGGTGGTGGTGGTCTTGGGCAATTTTTTCTGTATTTATTAAGTTAGTCTTGTTTTGTACAAGCATCTACGACAAGATCTGTCTCTCTGTATATGTCTGGTCAAATGTGTCTGTCTGCATACAAATGCCTGTACAAATGTGTCCGTCTTTCCTAAAAATGCCTGTACAAATGTGTCTGTCTGGCTACAGATGTGTTTTCAAGTCTGTCTACCTTCAAAAGTGAGTTGAAGTCTGTCTCACTACAAATGCCTGTACAAACGAGTCTGTCTTCTTACAGATGTTGCCTGTCTACCTACAGATGTGAATTGAAGTCTGCCTGCCTACATATGCCTGTACAAATGTGTCTGTCTAGCTATAGATGTGAGTTGAAGTCTATCTGCCTATAGATGTGTGTTGAAGTCTGTCTGGCTAGTCTATCTGCCTATAGATGTGTGTTGATGTCTGTCTGGCTATAGATGTGTGTTGAAGTCTGACTGGCTATAGATGGGTGTTGAAGTCGGTCTGTCAGCCTATAGACGTGTGTGGAAGTCCGTCTGCCTATAGATGTGTGTTGAAGTCTGTCTGTCTGGCTAGTCTGTCTGCCTATAGATGTGTGTTGAAGTCTGTCTCCTCAAAGGAGGCTCCCCTGTTGGTGATGCCCTCCGCCCCGTGACTGATGTGCTGCTCCAGAGACTGCAGGGCTTGCTCCAGCCTCACCCGATCGCCCGACTCCATCCGCTGGTGCAGGCTGGGAAGACGAACGCCCTCAACGCCCGATGAAGGGTTGACGGAAGCGGATGAGGAAGGCTGATGTGGAGGCGGTGAGTTTGAGGGAGGGGTCACCATTACAGAAATACCTCCAGAGGGAAGAGAGTGAGAGTCATTTGAAGAGCCGTTAAAGTTTGTGTTAACACCACCACCACCACCACTACCACCACCGCTACTGCTGCTGACTAAAGGCACTGTGTAGACTTGCATAGTCATTGACGCTGACGATACCGCAGCGGTTGTTGAGCTGTCTCCCGCAGGCTGCGGCGCTGTTGTTGCCGAGAGCGGTGACAAGGCAGCCGCTAACGATGATGACGTCGGTATTTGATGAGATGATGGCAACGATGATGATATCGTGATAGAAGTAGCACCATTTGAACTACCAATCGTGCTTGAAGAAGGACCAGAAAATGAAACGTCAGCCGGTGCAGCGGTTGTGGTGACCCCGCCCCCACCGTCTGAGGGGTGAATTTCCTCCCGCGGGAGAGACGGGCGGCGCGATGGAGCCCTTGACCTGTACGTTGGAGGTCGCGACGAAGGGTGGTCTCCGTCGTGGCTGTTGGGGAAGGCCGACTGTATGGCAGAGTGTATGGTGGAAGCCCTTGAGCGGTAGGAGGGTGGCGGGGAGTTTGGCCAGCTCTGGTCACCTGACGGGGCCTGGCCGGTAGCGGAGGCCGGTGGCCCATCGCCCGCTGCAGCCTGGTTCTGATAGTCTTGCATGGACGCTGCGTAGGACGGGGGCGGTCGGCGGTACTGGAACTCTGGGTACATCACTCCTGTAGTGAGACATATATTTTAGTTTTTAGTCAGAGTTTAGTCTTAGTTTTAGCAAGTGTTTTATGGCCCTTGCAACACAAAACGGTCTCATATAAGTGCTGAAGATTAGAGGTGTTACAAGAGAGAAAGGAGTGAAGATAAAGACGATAGATGTTTGATAGGTAGGAAAGAAGAAGCAAACCGCACCAGACCACCCGTCAACCACCCACATCCAACATCTGTATGACAACATCAAAGTAAGACTTGGAGTAAAGCAATACAGACGTTAGCAAAGAACGGTTTTAGTTTTCAGAAGAGTTTTATGGAACTTGCAACATAATCAGGTCATATAAATGCTGAAGATTAGAAGTGTTACTTGAGAGGACATACATAGAAAAGAGGGAGAGAGATAGGAATGGTAACTTTGATAGGACAATAGGAAATAAGGAGCAAACCACATCAGAGCATCCGCCACATGGGATGATAATAAAGAAGCTGGAAATAACAACTGAGATCTCCAAAACCCATTTTCAGGGAGACAATGATTTGTTTAAACATAATTTCCAGCTTGGGAAGCATCGTGACCAACATAATGAGGTCATTTAAAATCTAGGAAACAAGAATATTAAGACATTGAAAAACGAACAGACCACAAAATAATTACCTTCATATCATATACTTCTCACTCATAGCAAAAAAACCCCTCTAGTACCTCAGTATCCGGTACCCACCTCCCTTCAGTCAATCAGTACCCCAGTACCCGGTACAGACCCACCTTGCCCCCCCCTCCCCCCTCCAACCACTGTACCAAGCATTTTACTTATCCTCGTACCCCAGTACCCAGTACTCACCAGTACCCCGGTAGAGTAATTCCCCCATCCCCTCCCCCCCTGTACCCCCTCCAGTACCCAATAGTACTCACCAGTACCCCAAGACAGTAATTCCCCCATCCTCACCCCCTGTACTCCCCAGTACCCCAGTATAGTAATTCCCCCATCCTAGCCCCCCGAACCCCCAGTACCCAGAGTACTCACCAGTACCCAAGTACAGTAATTCCCCCATCCTCACCCCCTGTACTCCCCAGTACCCCAGTATAGTAATTCCCCCATCCTCGCCCCCTCTACCCCCAGTACCCAGAGTACTCACTCCATCCTCGCCCCCTGTACCCCCTGTACACCAGTACAGTAATTCCCCCATCCTCGCTCCCCTGTGCCCCAAATACTTCAACTTCGAGTACTCACCTCCATACCAGTTACTGTCCCTGTTCCGGTGGCGCCTATGACGTCGCTCCCTCGTCTGCCCCGTGCGGAAATTCCCGATGCCGAACAAGGCGTGTAGCGGCTCGTGTCCACGCGGTGTGCACTTCCAACCCACGCCCACCACGATCACCAGGAGCACACCCAGACCTGAGGAACAGAAAAAGAAATTTTTAATGGTGAAATGGTATAGGTTTATTAACCCCCTATCGACACTATAAGGTCATTTCAGAGGCCGGGCCTCCGAGTTTAACGTCCATCTCCAAAAGGACCGAGCCAAATGGGAAATTCGTGTAAAGTGCCTTTCCCCAAGGACACAACGTCGGACCGAGCTAAGGCTCGAACCCCCGAACCCGCAATCTCACGATTGCGACTCCGGTAGCCTAACCACATATAAACACACACAAGTTGTAGGTTTAGTAAGGGTTTTACGGCACTTTCAACACGATTAGGCCACAAAGGTGTGTTGAAGTCTGCCCCCCCCCCCTCATCTCATAAAAGTGACGACTATTAAAGGGGATACAGTTTTAGTTTTAGTAAGAGTTTTACTGATTTTGCAACACAAATTGGGCATTTTTTGTTTGTTTGAGTAAAGAGAAGCTCATCGACACAATATAATGGGAATTTACCGCTGGTGAAAAGTAAGACGGCCCAGACAGGAATAACGGAGGGAAAGTAAACAAGTATGAAATACCAGTGGCGCCCTCCAACAACCCAAACTAGGGCAGGCAAGAGCTGAAGACTAGAGGTGTTACTTGACAGTAACATACGAAAAAAACGAGGAGAGATAACGACGTTAGATTTTTTACAGGAAAGAAGGAACAAACCACACAAGAGCAGCCGCCAACTACCCACAAGCACATAACTGCTATATTTTCAACACCAAAACACAGGTTCTCTACCCTCACGGCGGGTCAAGATGGTGGGCATTGGCCAAGCAACTCACATTTAAACCCTTCGCACACATTTTTCCGCATTAAATGAATTCATATTAGTTTTAGTTTTAGTACAGGTTTTACGGCGATCGCAACTGCATAAAGTCATATGAGCCCCAGAAGATTAGAGGTGTTACAAGAGAGTAACAAACATAAAAAAGAAGAAGGGGGAGGTAAGGCGGAGATAAGGACGATAGATATTTCATTGGAAAGAAGAAGCAAACCACACCAGAGCACCCGCCAACCACCCACAAATTCATATTAAATAGCTTACTCTAGTAAGGGATACAACTAATAGTGACTGATGGGCTTCGTTCTCACAAGTATTTGTAAATTCGACCATGAAAGTTTATAACTTTTCTTTAGCATTGACAAGTTCGTGAAGAGAAATATTAGAAAAAAGAGAAAACGACATCAAAAAGGCTTCACAGTATTCAGACCCTCTAAAACATACAAATATGCATTTAATGTACGAGCTGGCATCTATGGAAGCACGTTGACACGATAACGATACTTCAAGTCGAAAAAAAGGAGTAAAAAAAACAGATAGAAAGAGCAGGGGCGGGGGACAGGGTGCGGGGGCGCAATCGCCACTCATCCACACGCGACGCATACAGATAAAGAGTTAAACTAAGGAGAAGCGCATTGACACGATAATGATGATTTTACATAGGAAAAAAAAAGTCAGATTTGCAGACAAAAAGCAATAGGGAGAGAAAAGAAGTAAGATCTACCTATGGCTTCATCCTGCCACCTACATCACACACACACACACACACACACAAACACACACACACACACACACACACACACACACACACACACACACACACACACACACACACACACAC